TGGGAGTTTTCATGGTATGGAGAGGGGTTTAGCTTATTGGTGTTGTGCATGCATTGTGCAGGCCAAATGTACAATGTCTAAGGTGAGGCCATTTGTAGATTGAGCCAAAGCAAACAGCAACACTAAAGGATGCTGAGGAGGGACATTCGACAAAGCTTCATGTTCTAGCTGCGTAGAGGAAGTTGGTTGTTATCAAGTTATCCACCAATGAACTGTGTATTTCCCGGGCGCCATAGCACAATTCAAACTATTATACAGATATCATATAGCGAACGGAAAGAAAACAAAGAGAAGAGAGGAACCTAACCAGGGGGTTAAGCCACTTGGTCCCTGGTCTATTAACTGAATGTATGAACCGCAGAAGGGAATTCAAGTGAGGAAGCGACCCAAGGAACAACGATTAATTTGCTGTTTAGCGACTTTAGGAGATAAATGGACGTGACATGAAGCTACTATAGGAGCAAAGGGCATCGCTACGAACGGAGCGATCGGACGCTACGATCGGGGCTCCTGGCCGTACTACTGGGAACAAGGTTCGCTACTAGGGGCTCCTGGCATCGCTACTATAGGAGCAAGGACGCTACTAGGGGCTCCTGGCCTTAGTACTAGGAACAAGGTTTGCTACTAGGAACAAAGGGCATCGCTACTTTAGGAGATAAATGGACATGAAATATCCTGAAATCCGATCTCAATCGGATGGTCGTTGGGTCTGAGCAAGCTTGGCCGTCCCAAACCGGTCTCGATCTTCGCTCTCCCAAAACGGTCTCCTGAAGCGGCCCCGAAAGCGACCTCCCTTTTGGCCTTCGAAACGCCATGGATTCATTCGATGCCGTGAACGCGAGGTTTCTGGGCCGTGAACGCGACGTTTCAAGTGGTCTTCCTGTGGACTTGGTGTGAGGATAGGAGCAAGTGGGATCAAATGGCCATAAATTGCTTGGCGAATCAAACCTTTTGATCCATCAAACCTTTTTCCAAATCACCAGACTGAACGGGGCGGAGCAAGTTCACCAAGAGCGCAATGCGGCGCAAGGGAGCCAGCCTTGCGATTTCAATCTTGGAGGTGACATGGTTTGTGTTGGCTAATATTATGTTATTTATATAAGATTAGATGCTTTAAGTTCCCACAATGCTCCACAGATTAAATGGTTTGAAGGTCCCAAACGTAAGGAAACTCGTTGATGTTGAAAGCAAGTCATGGACTATCATGGACTCATTGACAGTCTTTTGTTTGAACCATCAAAACAGTCTTTTGTTTGAAAGAGTCCAGGTGAAGATTTTCCTGTCACCAATCGGCCCAGAAAACAGGAACCGGTGGGACCCACACGGGACCCCGCGGGACGCAGCCGCGGGACGCAGCCGCGGGACACACCTGGCCTTGGGGCCCTTGGTCCATGACCTTTGCGTGTGAGGGTGGCCGCGGTGTTTCTCTTGTGAGGGAGCCCGCGATGTGGCCGTGGTGGTGCAAAAGAATGTGCAAACTGCTGGAGGGAACTTGGATTTTGGTGGAGTTCCGCAAGTTCAAGGAGTCAAGATGTTAAAGAGTTAGTCAGTGTCATTGAAATCCTTGAGAACAAGGTGAGAGTTCACCCCTCATGTTATCCTTTTTTACACGAATTGAATATGGTTGAGCTGGGAGGTGATGGAGGAGTGGGGCATGTCCATCATTGCAGCCTGATGGACTTCGGGTGGGCATGGGCGGCGGAAAAGCGAAGGCTTGGCCCAACCATCCTGTCCAGCCGATGAGCCGACTAGTCGGTCCCGAACGGAAGAGGTGGTGGTGACCAGTGATCCAAGGAGGAACCTGGGTGAAGTCATAGTGCTGCGGCGTTTTTGGATCAGCTACAGGCGTTCAGAGAGAATGTGACATCACACAAGTAATTGTTGCTCGGCTTCGCAGGTCATTCTAGCTCTTTGAAGCAGATTGAGCCTTGTATCGTGAAAACAAGCTTTCTTGATCACCAGCTGACAATACTTGTATCAATCTGCCGATATCGTATAGTGCAGAGCACAAGAATTGAAAGTTTTGCAAACCCAGCTGAAAGGATTGGTGGTGCTCAGATGATCACATACATGATACATGCATACGCCACAGGCACACTTGTTTTGACGCTTTGTGATCTTTTGCGCCACTAACAGTATCTCCCAGCACCCCCTACACAAGGTAGGTCATTTGTGGACTGCCCAAGCGCCATGGCTATTCTACCATGTCCGGGACCTCAAACCAGCGCCTGATGGTGAGTCAGCAGGGACGGAGCTGGTAGGTTTGTCGTTGGTGAGCACCTCAGGGAGTTTCACAGGGACGACCAGACCGCAGTGGTTGGCACACCGACCAGACCCTTCACAGCTGTTTCATGTCTTAAGTTGTACTAGTACCTGCAGCAATGTTGCAGGGCACGGCAGAGTGTACAAATGTTATGGTACTTGTATTATCTTGTATTGTACTATATTGTACTTATATATATATATACATTGTTTTCTACAGTACAAGTTCACGTCCGAGTTTCTATTTGTTTTACTCAGTTGGACCCTCGAAATTGAAGTACTGTAGAAACTCGGACATGCACTTGGACTCATTTTTCAAGAAGCCCATAGGGTTCATTGTAGATATACATTGTTTGTTGTTTTGATACATAGCGCTATTCCCAAGTAGAAGTACTGGTCGGTAAACTTGAATCATTTGTCTCGTTGTCTTGGACAAGGTCAGCTCACTGTTTTTAGATGTATAGTCTGCAAATTGGTGCTTTTTTGGGCGTCTACAGGATACTCACGTGTTGCACACGGCACTTGGTTTGGCGTCCAGGGCCAGGGGTTATTTTCTTCAAGAATCTGGACCAAGTAAGTACCAACTACTTCAGTGAACCAAAGGGCTTTCAGCAAGAGACATGCTTCACGGAAGTCTCGTCAATTTGCACTGTTGTCGGGTTCCCCCAACACCCAACACCCATCGCACACCCAGAGTCAAAAAACCTTCACAAGCCAGGCAGAGCTAGGGGACTTCTTAACCCTGCAGTTTCTGCACCGGTCACTTGCTCAGAGAGGTGCTTTCGGAAACTCGACGCTGTTGCACTCTGTGACTTCAGCCTGAAATGGTGAAAGAGGATGAAAGGATGAAAGAGCCAAGTATGGAAAACACCGTATGCCATCTTTGTTTGGGGACAGGATGTGCCATCTATTCGGGGGCCCCCAAAAAAGTGTGAAACATCAGAACCTAAGTCTAGACAAGTCTCAAGTCCTAGCTTAAGATTGTGTTCGCCCATTTCCCACGTTTGGACCCTCTTAGGTCACCAAGACACGAGCCCAACCGCGCTCCGTGTGGCACGGTGCACTGAACCTGGACCACAGGCGGGTGTGTCGCGCTGCGCGGGTACCGAGGGCCTGTTCGATCTACCACTGTCCTCCAGGATACTCCCGGTCGGGACCGGGAAGTTGTATAGGCAGTGGATGCTGCGAAGGGCAAAATGGTTGATCAATGTTGATCATGTTTCCCTACAACTCTGGACTTCTCTTGGTGGGCCACTGCTTTTCGAGCCACATGGCATGGTTGTTTGTTTGCCATCTCAGTACTGTAGAGGCAGAGGGTACTAAAATATGATTCTGCAGTGCTAATACTCAGCTTTGTCGGTGGCAGACGGGCAGAGTTTCAAAAACATGAGTTCCATCGTTTCGTACCTGGACGTGAGTTCCGTTTGTGGCGTGGTAAGAGTTCGATGGTCTCACGCGTCTCGCACCTTGAGATCGTCCCCACAGGGACTGCAGGGAGTTTTCTCTTGCTTGACCTGGTTTGCTTAGGATAACTGTTTATTCAGTCTACTCGTATTTTCCAATGGATAAATTCCCTTCTGGGGAATACGTTCGCCGGTTCCTGGAGCAAATCCACGTTTACCATTGGACCATTTGGGGGTCGACTTTCGTGGAGACATCGATGCAGGTACACGAGTTGTGGAGCTTCCTGCTTGGCACCCTCTCTTGAAAAGATTGGTTGGGAAAAAAGGATTGCTTTGATTTGTTCTAGCTGAACATCACAAGCGAAGGAATGCCTGATGACAATCTTGGAAAGCGTGATGCAAGTTTTTTCAAGTATACATAGTGGATCAAACACTCCTCCACTTGAGCCAAGTCAACACTAGCCACTCGATCGGCTAGCCGGCTAGCCCAAGATGAATCCATCCGGACGTTTGAAAACAGATGAATCCACTAGAGCCTCTTAATCTTTGAGAGGGGGTTGCGGAAGACACAAACAAACAGCAGACAAAACGAACTAGCACAGAAAGTCACCTTGAGGTTTTGAACATTTTCCTCAGATTCATTCTTTAAGTGGGCTTACTTTGACTCGATGTTCATTCTCGTCTTCCCAAGGCAAGAAACACAGCCAACCTGGGCCGCCTGGACCTCTGAGCCGCCTCAGCCTGGGGTGAGTGTAGGAATGGATGGCGACCAGGTGGGCTGTGTGAACAGATGCGAACAGTGAACTGTTGTGACCAGGAGTGTAGTGTTTTTTGGTGAGACCTATGGCCTATGTTATGTGGAATGAGTATGCCTGCATCTGATTGTATCAGATCGATTCACGGATCTCTAACTCCAAGCTGCTTGCTGAGGATTCTTCCTAAAAGAGAATTGCTTTGATGTCAGCCTCCTTTCTACGATGTAGTGTGGCCATGCGTGGTTCTATCAATGCGGTGACCTTTAACTTAGAGGATTCATCCGAAACTATTGCTCAACTTGAAGTTTCATCAGTGTAGCGGTGAGGCTACTTGTTGCTTCCTGCAGCGACGAGCGATTACAGTACATGTTTGTCGGACGACATTATTGAGTATTTCATAGTATTTATATCCATGCAAAAGAGGGCTGAGAAGAGAACTGGTTTCAGGTCACTTTTGGGAACTCGTTAAGACTGACCTGTTTGATGAAGCATCAAGGCCAAACCAGCTGTCAGATGCTGTGAGATTTGACGCCGCAGAACTTTGAAGGATCGACCATTTAGAGGGTCCTCCTGTGCGCCCATGTCTCAGGACGGGTGCTGATTGGAAGGCAAATGACCGGCCATTTGCTCAAGTTAACTGTAAATAGTAGAAACGAACTCGTTCTTACTTCGGAAGCATGCATACGCTGTACATGATTTTACATGCATTTACTTATATTTATCACCTGTCCTTCCCGTCTACCTGCCAGGTTGCGGTTTGATGGGTGGCTTCTGGCAACCAAAATCTGTTTGAGCTGTTTAGCGTTGGACTTTGGTAGGATATGTCAAGCAATGATCACACTCATTTCGTGTTGTATTAGGTCTGAAATTTAAGCAGGATTCTTACTGGAGGTGGGCAGGACATTCGCCTTTGTTTTTAGACCTACAAAGTCCTTCAATTGTCCATGCCGGGCAGCATGGTTCTGCACTGCATGAAAACAAGGATTCGCCAGAGGGGCTTCCTTCCAGTGCAGTCTCCGACTTAAAAGGGACCATTGATGTGACGTAGGAGGGAGGCCCTGCGAATAGCCATCATTAGGTTGAGGCCCAGTTGAGGCTTCCGTTTGTTTTCCCCACAACTTAGAACTGGGAACGTAGACGCGCACACACAAACAAGAAAATAAAGAAACTCCATGTATTAGGATGGCTGGCCTGTTCAAGCAATTTTGGACATAGGCGTCACTGTTGAGAGACTGTTATTTTTTGAGTGGCTTGGCCTGGTGCCTTAAAGATCCTGAAGCAAACCAGTGTCTGTCAACATGTATGAGTCTTGTCAAATCCCATGGGTGAATGTTAATCTGTTCCTTCTGTGCACGGTTAGACCAATGTATTTACCTGAACATCACAGGGCTCAGCTTACAGTTGTGGAGGATCGTGGAGGATATCTCCACCACCTGCTGGACGAAACAAGGAACACCTGCAGGGTTCGCCCAGGAGGACCAGACACAGCAGATTTCGGTGAAGAAGACCTTCCTGACTTGGTCTGAGCCGGAGCCTTCGGTGGCCCCAAGAGCGTTCACCTACCCCGATCGGGAGTTGGTGGAGGACAGGACGATAGCACTGATCTGGTCGGAGGGGTCGGGTTCGCCCATGAAACCAAGGAGCAGGGCATAGTAGGGCTGTGCCGGGAAAAACTGAAGATTTTCTGGCGTTGGTCACCTGCCAGGATCCTTCCAGTATCATTTCAGCATCAAACCTGCTTTTTCAGAACAATGGGAAGCAGCATCCATCAATGCCACGAGCGATGTGATTCGTTCTTTCAGGGCTGAACCAAATGTTGCTCATGCTCCGGGGTCGTTTGCTTCTTGGGAAGAGACACTTTGTTGCAGCTTCAGTGTAGACTGTTACAGTACAATAAAATGCAAATAGTGACCTCCGAAAATATGAAGCACCTTAATGTTATGTATATTAAGTAAACAAACAGTGACTCACAGTGACTCGAGAGTCGCAGTAATTGCTTCGGCCAATTTGCTTGCATTGACGCTCAAACTGCTGACCTAGGTAGCTCCGCACAGCTTAAGACTCCAAAACAAGATCACGTCATGATCACGTCACCTTATGCTCTTGTGATCTCTCTTGGATTCTTTTGGGATGTTTCGGGGCATCTGGATTAAAAAAAACATGTAAACGATAAACAAAAAGTTAACATGATCAAAAACAAAAGCATAAAGGATCACAAAAATTCAAGACTTCGAGTCTGGTCCCCTGGTCCTTCGGCCTGGCCCTTGGTCCCCTGGTCCTTTGGTCAGTCCTTTGGTCCCCTGGTCCCTTTCCTGGTCCGCTGGCCTCGTGGTCCATTGGTCAATGTTGGTCAACAACACCTTGCGTCATTTTCTGAGTGCCCTTCATTGATGAGGCAATGGGGTGTATAGTTTTCGATGGTGATCTATTTGTCGTGCCTTTTGAGTCTGATGGCTTTTGATGTTTGGTTAGAGGCGCTGCGCCCTCCTCCCAACCCCCCTCCAGCGCCACGAAATCTACACTTCTTTTGCTAATGAACTGGGCCTACCATGACAGATTTTCTAAAGGTCACCCAGGCACTCATCGGTCACACAAAATATTGCACTCACTCGCCTAAGTCTGTTTGGTTTTGTGATGCAAGCGCTTGCAAGCATCCTTTCACTGTCCTGTGGTGGAACGGCACTACATTGATTGGGAAATAGGGTGTGTAATTTTGGATGATGATGTATTTGTGGTGCCTTTAGCGTCTGGTGGATTTTCTAGTTTGCAACTCCGCTCCGGCGCCACGGAATCTGCACTATTTTGGCCAACGCACGGCCTGCCACGACCGACTTTTTGAAGGTCACCTTATCGCATATCCACACCAAGTAATTATTGCACACTGTCGCCTAAGTGCTTTGCATATTTGTTACAATCATCCTTTCATGGTCCTCTGGTTGCCCTGCTGCTGTTGTCCTTTCCCATGCCTTTCCCTAGTTTGTTTTTCTTTCATTGCTGACCGGGAAAATATTGTTTGATCCCTTTCTTTTCTTTTTGATCCCCGTCGAATATTTTGTTTGTTTTTGATTCATTTTGATACTGCACTTATTTGTTGACCCCTCGCCTTTGTTTCGGGGTTAGCTCAGTTTGACTCAGAAAGCATCGAACTTTGTCGTAGTTAGCTGACCCGTGCCAACCCCCTAACATTGGCCATGTGGATGTGACATTGGGCGGTTTTGAGGTTGATCTGCAATCCTTTTGTTTGGTGTGGTTTTGATGTGCAGCTAAAGAATCGTTCATTCGCACACCGTCCTTGGCATTGGATTGTGGTTTGTCATTGACCAAGTGTTTGGGTCTGAAGGTCTGAAGAGGTACTAGCTATTGTTTCTAATTAAATTCTAATTCTAATTATTGTTTCTACATTCGCTTCTTGTTACTAGTAAGGCACCTGTTACTGCTAGCGATGCACCTGTTACTAGAAGCTTATTGTTTCTACTTAATCAATCGACTGGTGTTTCAGACTCTTGGAACCGCTTGGGCCCAATGTGGTATGGCTTGGGCCACTAGAAACCCGCATTCCCATACCCACTGCTGGGAGGTGTCGAAAAAATTAATTCCAAAGAGTTAATGAAACCTGCGTTTCGTTTCTGGAGGAGTCCGAAGAGTGAAAGAAAACAACCAATTTTCTCCAAGACTGGCTGTTTCAACCCCCTTGGTGGGATTTCAAGACTTGGGAATATGTTTCCGCCTGGCCTTCTACAAGTGCAGGAGTGACTTTCAGGATCTATAAAACTCGCCTCATCTCGCACCATCTCTGACCATCTCGGGCAGAGCGGCAGGAGCTCAAGTGTGGCTCCATGGCCCACCGGGTGTCCTTCTCCTCTGGGAGCAACTCCTCCCGCAGCTCCTGTTCGGATGACGAGGCGCCCAACGCGTCGGTCAGTCCGGTTGGTTTCGGGTGGATTGGCGATGCGGGTGAACCTGGTGTTCCTTGCTGGGCTGAGAACCGGAAACATTAGTTTTTTAGTGTGGGTTCAACCATTTGGTGACAGTGCCAAGAGCGAGCAAATAGACTCGACTCGACCGTGAATTTGTCCAAAAGTGCTTCGGTATTGCGGAGATCCATAGTGACAAGGATAGGGTCTACACAAACTTTGTTTGTATGAAGTAGGAACAAAATAGCTTCTAGTAACAAGTGCCTCGCTAGTAGTAACAAGTGCCTTACTACTAGTAACAAAAAGCTATTAATTTAATTTAACAAACAGTCTGAAGAGTGACAGTAGCCCCCCCTGAGGCAGCATGGGCAGGGCACGACTGTTCACTCGAGACACTGGAAAGCATCGGTGGTTCCCACACGACTGGCAGATCCAAATGGGTTCAAATGCGGGAGCTACTAGTAGCTTCTTGCTCCTAGTAGCGATGCACTTGTTACTAGTAGCTTGGCACTTGTTTCTAGTAGCTTCTTGCTCCTAGTAGTAATGCCACAGGGCTCCACCTCCAATATGTTTTGTTTCTTTTTTCAGGGTCGCTCGAAAAGGTAGGTCCCAAGCCGTGCCTTTCCTGCGAACACTGGCAGATCTTCTCCACCTTTGCGGCTCGTGCCCAGCCGATGAAGTCAGGACCGGTTCTTGCATCGGGTCCTTCAAAGGGACGGATCAGCAAGCCATCCCGATATATAGGGCACATGATGACCCTGAAGAGGACTAGCCATCTATCCGGAAAGCCATTATTGCTATCCAAAGATTCCGAAAGACATCGCTTCGGTCCGATCTGAACGAACCCTGAGTAACAGACACGGAGACTCCCATCCACAAGGAAATCAGATCATTGACTCACAGATGCGCACCAGACGACGGAAATGGCTGACTGGCCGTTTGTGTCTTCGATGTTTTGGGGCGCCCGAGACGATCCAAGACGTTTGCTGTGAGACTTGCGGATGGATTGGCAAGCATAGTGGCAAGTAAGCATGTATGCAATCCACTGGTTTTCCTCCTTTTCAATCAAGAACTCAATCGTGTTGAACCACCTATGATCAGAGCATGGTCCTCTCCAGGAAGTGACACCTTGCAGCAAGGCTGCGCCATTTCAGCGCCTTGGTGGAAGAGAGTGCCGCCACCAGCACCACCAGCAGGATCATTGGAACGCTTTTCATGACTTGCACCTGTCATGGTGTGTTGGGATTCCCATGGATTCCCCGTTCTTCTTTTCAAACACTGTCGTTTGTGCCGGGTTGGATTGGGTGTTGCCAGAGGAAGACTCACTTGGGACAAGAGTCCCTTCATTCCATGAGTTGAACAAGATCTCTGTCACGTCGGCCTCGAGTCGTTTTTCCTTCAGTTTCCACTTTTCCATCGTGGGTGGTCAGTGGTTGGTGACTCTGCATTGTTGCCAAACCTGGTGGCTTACGAAATGTCGGGAACAGATTGGATCAAGACATCATATCAAAACCTGGATCCCCTAAACAATGGCAATGGCAGGTTGGCCTTATAATTAGGCTTTTACCATGGTTTTGCCTTAGTTGGGATTTCTTGATCCGTCGTTGTTGGTGAGTTCTTGTGTTATTTTTTGGGGTGAGGAATGATACATTTCCCTTACAATTGCAATTCTCTTGTTCTTCATGTGGGCCGTTGTGTACACATGGCGGATGTGTTGCGTGAATATGGTGGTGTTCAATGAGAACCCCCGGGCTGAGAGCCCGGGCTGAGCCCCGATATACACTATGGATCTGTAGTTTTGCAAACCTTGCCATCAGAATCCTTTATTCAGGCTTGTCAAAGACTGCACACGTTGGATGGAACTCCTACACTCCTCAGGGGCTCTCTTTGTTCCCCCGGCACACCGCCTTGCAATCATTTGCAGACTGCATCTCAGGGTACAACGAACCTACTCACCGAAGACGTGTCCATTGGTGGTACTATCAATTTCATTGAACTTCTCCGGTTGTTTAGTTGCTGTGCGCCGATGTGTTTGAAGTCGAAGACCAGGCTCATTTCCAGTCCCCATGATTTTTGCTGATGTGTTTGGTTTGTGGACCTGAGGCCAGTGATGGGACGAATTCGTTCCAGGAGATGGTGAAACTGTCGTCGCGAGTGCCGACCTGTAGACTCTTGCGGTGCGCTGGTGCTGGTAGAGGTTTAACTAAATTAAACTAAAGGGATATGACAAATCATTGATGTGTGAGTGCTTTCAGAAAGGAACTTCAGCTACCCAGAGGCCAAACAAACATTATGTGCACGACATGATTTCCATCCCATACAGAGTCCCGTACAAGCATTACTAAGTAGGAAGTGCGTAAAATGGAGTAGAGAGCATTCTGTCTACTGAACTTAAATTAGGGTAAGCACGGGTAAAACACAATATAACAGCTAAACCAGAAGCAGGAAAAGCCTCACATGTGCCATTATGTGTGTTCTGTATATTATATTGTAATTTTGGTTAGTTTTGCTGCTTGCATTCCACAGTGGTTGGCGGCTTTCCACATAGATTTACCATGAATTAGGTCCTGAAAGCATCTGAAAGCCTGAAAGCGGTCAAAACATGTGTTCGTTTCGGGAGCCGCCCCACCGACGCGGGCACCCGTAAATCCCAGCGTTTGATCAAGCGTCTCAACTGTTTCCCTGAAACTGCAAGTTCGCAACTGCGCGTGTCTATATGGATCCATATGGATCCTTTAGCTTTTTGGGCTTTGATATCGGCAAGCTGCGGTGGCAATCAAGATTTATTCCATCAAGAGTGCATTCCATGAGTACTGTACTGGCCGGTAGGAGTGTATTACTGTATTTATATAGCTGAAAATCCTGCAATCCGCTTCCATGGTTCGATGTACTCCCATGAAATTTACCGTATGGTCTCAAAGCAGGTGCTCACAAACATGGCACACTTGAAACTTGAAACGGTGACCTCCTGGGGAATCCGGAAAGCACCGGTGTTTGGAGAGTAATTATATATGTGGTTTGTGCGACCAGATAAAGACTAACATAGAACACAAGAACACAAGTAAGGATTGATAGTTCTTGCACTGAAGCAGCAGATGCTAACATGGAATCTGCCTGATGGCCAGCATATTGCTACTGACTGTACATGTGCGATCTTGCAACGTTCCATGTTAGACTCAAGAGCGATCAACATTGCCCAGGATTTCCCAGGTTTGTTTCGACTGTGTTTCAATACCAGCATAGCTCCAAATCTTAAGGACACAAACTAGCGAAATGCAGCCACTCTAACACGGCACATGGATTTGTTTGATTTTGTTTCTTGGATATTCGATTTCACCGGTGTACTTCTCATCCTTTGCTCGTGCCCTGGGGTTTTACTTTGCGCTGGACAGGACAACATCCCTCCGGTCTATGTCAAAAACACTTTCCTGAATTTCGAGTCAGAGCAGCGAGAGCCAGCTTTGGCCGGAAGGTCATTTACATTTCCAGCGCCTCAAGTGACCCACCGATTCAAGGCGGGAGTTGGCCAAGAGCGGGACGATCTGCGCTGGTCACTTCGCTCGGTGAAATCGCCAATCCTGTTATTAATCAGGCCGTAAAGTTGAAGTCACAAGATCGTTTGATATCCTATGTACTGTATATATATATATTTATATTTGGAAGTCTTACTCTTACCCGGAGAGGTATCACGGTATCGCACTAAAGGCAAAGCGCGGGCCTTTCTCGGGCACGCGTTTTGTCAAGGCAACATACACTAAAACTAAATATTTGTATCACACCATCCAGTAGACTGTTCTCTTCATTGTACATTTATGTTGGCAGTACAGTGGTGAAGCGCTGAGATTTGTTGAGCTTCCTGGGGGTAGTACTAACTCCAGAATAGACACCAGCTCTTGAGGAATCTATTTGATACGCTTTCTCTGACAAATATTTGATACGCTTTCTTTGACAAATATACATATATATATATATGCATATAGTATAATTAATATATAGTCAACTCAGACAGAGTGAGACCATCGATCGCTAAAGCGGTGTTGTCAACTGGGTCAACTCTGCCGCTGACCGTCGATTGTGCGGTCGACCCTTCCGGTGAAGGAGTCCTCGGTGCCCAGACCGGCATCTCGAGCGCGGTCGACCTGGATTGAAGCCAGTGCTAGCACTCGGAGCCCAATAGATTCAGATGATGTTTCCAATGACACTTTGTCCAAATGGAAGACTTGCGGGTTGATTGAAGTATTTGTTCAATTTCTGAGCGTTTATTTGATCATGAACCATGTGGGTTTGTCTCGGGGGACGGAAGACATATTTGTAGTAAGGCACTTGTTTCTAATAGCAAACATTGTTACTACTAGTAAGGCACTTGTTACTACTAGCGATGCACTTGTTACTAGTAGCTTCTGTTTTAGCATGGTGCCCATATGTTTCAGTAACCTTTGATCCTAGGATAGTGGACACATCACCTCCGGAGATGCAGCCGAATCGGCAGTCCACGAGGCACAGGATAGGAGAGCACGGATCAACTGCTGGGTGTGGCTCTAGTTGTGGATTGAACCCAACCACCCCCAAGCCATGCTAGCTTGATGTAGCTTGTTGATTACTGTCTTTCGTTGCCTTCAATACATTTTGTATACTTGGGTAAAGATCCGCTTCATCCGATGATTCCCAATATAAACACTCACCCACACAACAGGTGTTGCGTTCCGTTCTGATTTCATTTGATTCCCCCCAACAAGACCTTGTGGTTAAGACCTTGCAGGCACATACGTCCAAGAACTGTGGTAAACCACCCTAGGGACCCTATCATCCTGATTAGATTGTCCGTGGCCATGTCATTAATCATGTATTTCTGATGCTTATCATTCACTGACAATGACATCATGTTCGCTGATGTCCGGTCTGATTCGAGGGGGGCGGTGATTTTTCTGTTTTCGTTTTAGCGGTTGGGTTCTCTCTCTCTCTCTCTCTGGTTGAAACCCTGATGTTGACAGTTCAACTATTCATAATACACACAAACACCCCGGTACCTCTGAGAGGAAAGGGCTGTTGAGTGGCGCAAGACGCCTTTCACAAGCATCGTTGGGAGGTCAACCAGGTACACAAGGGGATCATCCCTTTACAATACTCAAAAAATAGTGTAGCCCTTAATTAAGCTCACCTTGGGGAAAAAGAAAAGCATCATGCTACCACCATGGCGCCGTTTGGCATGTCACAACAACAATCAACAACGTGGGGGCTCCTTCTTTCAAAACGGTCAGCTTTTTTAAACATGATTTAACGTGCATGAGCTGTGTTTGACGTTCTCATGGCGTGTGGTAGTTCTCTCTCAAAATGGGTGTTTGGCAAAGGGTCTTTGGCCTGACCCCGGCATTGTCACGAAACTTGTGCTTTTAACACTACCTCTGGAACTGTGATGCTTTAAAGTGGCAGATTCGTTTCCTGGTATCCTACTTGCAGTGTTTTGCTAGTCACTTGATAGCCCCTAAGTACCAGAGGCCAGGATCCACAAGTTTGACTCAGATCGGACGTGAGCGTACTTTGTGGGTTCAACTCCGATCACAAGCCGCAAATATTATGATAAAAGGCCGCCATTCCATCCTGATGGACCAGTCGCAATGCATTTTTCATCAGCATACTTCACTGCAGAACTGGGAGGAGTGCTTATGAACAATGCGTACTTGTTCAAAGGCAATTACGAGGTGCAGTGCAAAGAAGTAACTTGCTTCCATAAAGCCTCGGGTAGTACCAAAGGAGGTGAATTCTGGAATTTGTCTATTCAATGATGCAGCATGAATCCGCCCGCCGCCGAAGGTGCTGAGGCGTTGTCCCCAGTTCGCGTAAACCGCTGGAATTGCTAGATAGCTCAATACGCTTTAGCTGTAAGGGTGGCATGGTTTAGAATGCTGCGTTTTTTGAGCGTAAAAAAGCGGACAACAAATCAGCAAGCCATCGGTGATGTCAACTATGCTTTCCGAGTGACATTGCGTTATTGACATTCTGTGTGCTTGCCCATCGCTGCTGCTTCAACACTACTGGCGCCCCAACTGCTGCTAAACTAACCCAGATGTTCCTCCTAAACTCGATCTTTCTTACTTGCACCTACCCCTCGTTGTTTCCATGATCGTTTTTTTCCTCAGGGCGCACTTCTTCTGAGGCTTTGAGCCCTGCAACTGTTTTTCCCGGCTCAAAGAGCACAAGTATCCGTGCGGGCGGCTTCGACCGCGAAGCGGCGTGAACCTGGTGGCAGTCTCATTTTGTGTTCGCAATGTGTTTGGCTTCACAAATCTCTATTCTTAAAAATATATATATATATGTATAGTGAGAGATGTCAAGAGACAAGTTCATTTACAATAGTTCATTTACTCTCTCGTACTGTTCATGTACAATTGCACGGTGCCATACAATGCACCTTGGATCGAGGCCTTGGGCCTAAGGACAGTTGCCAGAGGAAAACAATACAGAGACGTGCACAAACAAACGACAAACAAACAGCTGCTGAATTTTACATGGTAGCGGAGCAAGGATCCTGGTAACAACAATCCAGGTGAGCTCCAATACAGCAACAGGCACAAGCCAACAAACACACACAACGGAGAGCAAGCCTTGACCCTACAATAGGTAGCTTGCACAGCTGCAACAATGGCAGCACAACAAGCAGCAGCTCAAGCTGGAGATGGACTGCCTCCAGTTCCAGAAGATGAGACAACAGCAGACATAGTAAACATGAACAGATACAAACTCAAACCACCCTTCTTCAATGGAGACTATGGCACGTTCGAGGGATGGAAGTACAAGTTCACAGCATACATGGGATTGCAAGACAATGATTACACAGAACTATTACAAGCAGCAGAACGAGGCACAGCAGAACTCACAGAAGTACAACTACGAGCAGCGGCAACAACAATCGAGGATGGTGAACGACATGTTCGCCTCAGCACTGATTTGAGGTACATCCTCATCAACACAACAACTGGAGCAGCAGCCACAGTATGCAGACAATACCAACACACAATTGGCTTCGAGATGTACCGACAACTGTGCATCCGCTTCTCCATCCCATTGGGGACAAGATCCATAGGACATTTGACAAGATTGTTGAAGCCAACATTTGACGAGAACAACTTCGAAGAATCATTTTCCACATGGGAATTTGAGCTACAAAGATTTGAGCGAGACAACGGACAAACACTCCCAGACTCCGTGAAGATTGCCGTATTGCTCAACGAGACAAGCGGACCACTACAACAACACCTACAACTGCTTTCAGGACAAAGCCCAAACTATGCACGAGTCAAACAAACAATCATCGAGTACTACAGATCAACCACAGCATTCAGCAAACTGCAACAAGTACGATCACAATCATCCAGTGTAGCAACAAGCTTTGGTGGAGGACAAGCACCCATGGACATTGATGCAATCCACAAAGGACAAGGCAAGCACAACAGTTATAAAGGAAAATGCACAGGAAAAGGAAAGAACAAAGGCAAAGGCTACGGAGGATACAACGGCTACGGATACAACAGTTACAACATCAGCCACAAAGGAAAAGGAAAGTATGGAGGAAAAGGATTCAACAACTACAACAACAGTCCGATTGGCTTTGGCAATCCATTCGGAAGGGGCAACAAAGGAAACAAAGGATTTGGCAAAGGATACAACAAAGGCAAAGGAAAGAACAAAGGAAAACAAGCAACAGACACATGCTACAGATGTGGAAGAACAGGACATTTTGCCAAAGATTGCCGAGTGGCAATACACAACATTGGACAAGGAGAGAGCAATGACATTGAGGATGCAACAGCACAATGGTACGATGACTACTATGACAATGGATGGTACTGTCAGGACTACATGAGACCACAACCAGGACAACAGCCATTGGCCCTTCCACCAATACCATCCAATGGTAACAACGACATGACACCAATTCATGTCATCGCCATGATCAACAATGGCAATGACCACCAGACAGGTACAACAAGCAGCGGCGCAACAGACACTATGCACATCATGATCGACAGTGGAGCAGCCGCACATGTCTGTCCACTATGGTTTGCAGACAACTATCCAGTGTACAAGAATGATCAAGCACAGAGCCCAAACCTCAGGACAGTGACGAACAAAACAATACAATGCTATGGAGTAAGATGGGTCTACATGCAATCGAAGGGACAACCAATTGTCATACCATTCTATGTGTGTGACATCCATGACCCAATCCTGTCAGTGACAAGACTGGCAGAACAAGGCTTTGACATCAGGTTCAACGACACTCCAACAATGCGCCATGACAAGGGATTCGATGTTCCCGTGGTACAGCAGCACAATCTCTACTACTTACCAGCAACAGTCATGAACCTAGGACAACATCAACAATTGCAGCTGAGACAAACACAAAAGGGCACGATTGCAATGATTGCCCCAACAACACTGACAAGACATGGACCGCAACAAGTCCTTGGAGACAATAGCGACTACTGGAACTACAACAATGAAGGATACCTTGTACGGTATCACCGGAACAAGAGGAAAGCTCTCTTTGTTCCCGGCGACAATTGCCCAGTGCCACTGGAGACATTGAGCAACTACAGACGAACAATCATTCGGCGAACAGACCGGAACAACGAAGACATTGTTGAACAATACCATGACTTGAACAAGCACGAACAACGAAGAGTGATACAAGGAGACACATGGACAGGAGAAACATGGTTCAGAGTGAACAAACCGCCAGCACAACCAGCACCTACAACAGCGAAGACAACAGAGAAGACAGAGAAAGCATCACAAGCAATACAGACACGACATCAATCCACAACACTGCGAGTCCCGGACAGAGACGGGACAACACTACAGGCAAACAGAGAGCCACTATACAGACATACAACGAAGAAGCCAGCACCAATGACCATGGCAGTACCTGATCCATCAACAATGACACCAACAACAGACTATTGGATCAGAGAAGGACATTATTGGAAGCGAGTTCACGTACAAGCACGGACAACAATGTACGTACCACAACAGACAGATGATGAACCAGACATTGGACGACTCAAAACCACGCGGACAACATTCGTGAACAGGACGGAACAAGGAAGAGGATACACAATCCATGACAATTGGCAGGAATCAGGAGCAAGACAGCTTGACAGACAATGGACAGGATCAACAAATTTTGAGGAAGAAGCGACGTACAAGTACGAGTACGATACGGACAATGAAGATGAATCTCAACAAGCACAACGCGCAAAAGGAATGAAGGCGCCACAACAACCAACAAGACAAGAGAGGCTAGAACATGAGCTGACACACTTACCATATCGCTCATGGTGCCCAAGATGTATCAAGAGTAAAGGAGGAACAGACAATCACCCAAAACAAGCAAGCAAACAACCAGTGATACAAGTGGACTTCACCTACATGAAAGCATTTGGAGACAAGCAAGTACTACCAGTACTCACAGCAATAGATGTCGAATCAGGTATGGC